AAGCAAGTCGAAACCGTCAGTGGCATGGACAAAATGTACGAACGATGCATGATTGGAAATACGAGACGATGAAGAGAATTAACATGCTTTGCGACAAATGGATGTTCAAAACTGGCAATTCTGCAAAATACTCTTGTCAAAACTTGTAAGTGATGCAGCCAATCTTTGAATAAATGAAAATATCAGACCTTAGAGTCATGATGAACAGAAGACAAAATTTAAACCTAACTTCGACCTCACAGAGATAAGCTATTCATTTTACCGCTATCAACACTAAAAAACGTAAATGGCAGATATGCAGGAATTAAGATCTTTGTGCGATTTAGCTAGTGTTCTCAACGGCTACATTTACAATTCGCAACGTTGGATCTAGGAAAGTTCACCGACAGCAATTCACCGACGGAAAATTCAGCGACTCTACAGCTGATCGCTGACGATTTATTTATTAAAAGCCATGAAACGTAAAAACCTTAATTTATTTCATACCAAAAAGTATTGTCAATATTTCTATGCAATTGAAATCTGCTAATTTTGAATTAATTTGCCTGAAAATGATAACGATGTGTGTGCCTCTAAATTTCGAATAAAACAGATTTCATTGGAATAATTTAATTGAAAAAACTTCTGAAACATTATTTACACGCAATACCTAATTAGTAATTTATATTATGTGCCACACCCTCTCTAAAACTCTAAAACATTACTTCTGTCATAATTAGCAACTACTTTGAAAAGTCTCAGAGCAATTTCTATATTTCTTATGTGCAGGGATACCTTAATGGCCACTCACATACAGTTCAATTTGCAATGTTCTGATGCTTTGTTCACGCTGAATTGTTTCAATAAACCTCCGGATATAAGGGTGTTGTACAGATATTTGCATTTCGAATCGACGATGCCATCCTTCAAATGAATTATTTGTCTTCAGAAGGTGTCTTATTCCTTCGTGACTGTTCCACATTTCCAGGGAGAAGCGGTGCATTCGATGTGCCATACGTCGTTGAGGACGTCCAATCCAGCAGTCCTCAAAGCAATCAATCAAGCGTTGTGCTTCTTCAGACATGTCATCATCGCTACCGCTAAGAAGCTAAAGTGCTTCTATCATATCTTCTGTTTGGAAAAGACCAACGCAGACAAGAGTCGCATTCTCATAGCAAATTCGACGTCAGTTCCGAACCTTCTTTGAAGATTTTCTGCCTGAATCCTTAGAATGTACACTGCGAGAAACGCAAGAAACATTCCCGATGTCTAGTCCCTGGAAATTCTTGACGAATAGCACTGACTGAGGCAGGTTTGAATTCGGCCACAACTGTTTCTGGGAAGGCATCAGGTTGAACCTGTTTTAATAATCCTAATCCTAATATAAGGATGAAGCATGGTAATTATTGTGCTTATTAATCAATCTTTCAAATATGCCATTTCTAAATAAATGCATTAGATAAAATTTATTTTTCTGTGAGTAGGTAATATTATGATAATTATTCTGCTCATTAGCATAATCTTTCAAATATATTATTTCTAAATAATACTGTTTTATGATCATCGTAAATAAATTATCGGCGATCGGTTGTAAAATCGGTGAATTTTCCGTTTGACGAATTGCTTGTCGGTGAATTTTCCAGTCGGTGAATTGCAGTCGGTGAACTTTCCGGATACCCGCAATGTTTGCATCAGCGATGTTATTCACTACGCAATTTTTAGGAGGATGTGATCTACGTTTCAACGGCACTAACCAGGAATATCCCATTTACAAAACGTATTTATGATACTTGAGACGTCAGGCAAGAACTGCACCAATACCTGCCTTTTCTCCTATTGTAAAGAGAACGATGTTTTCAGGAACGAATCCTGCTACTTCTCGACCGGTAGTTCAGCGACTGCAAGATGAGACAACGGATCATCGGCAAGGTTCATGCTTTTTGGCTGGTTTTGGACGAAGAGGAAAATTTCTTGTTCAAGAAAACTATCGGTTCATATTCAGTAAAGGCCAAGAGCACAACCCTGCTATGCAATGACGTCTGTCTTTATAACTGGCAGTGCACAAAACAACGTGTTATCCAATTACACATAAAATTATACGTGTACATGTATGCTATTAGAACGAAACTACACAATGCACCTCACCTGATGCTCCAACTTTCCATACTTGAAAGTGATCATCTGTTGGTGTAAATTTTCTTCATCCATTTTAAGAATCAATTGCCGAAAGCAGCTCTTTTGACTAAATTGAACGACTCATCACAAGGTATTTTCATAAAATTAATCAACTTTTAATTCGGTGACTAGAAAAGAAAACAATCGACTAACGAATTGGTGTATCAATTACAGTAGGACCCATTAAATAGTGAGTTCATTTTATGCATGATAAGGTGAACCTGACATACGTGGACCATTACGAAGCAGAAGTACAATATTCAGTCCACGGAAGAAAACTACTTTAACTTGAACTGGACAGAAAACACTTAAGTTCTATCACAAAGAATTCCAGCAATGAGTGACGTGAAACATTGCATAATAAGAAGCGAAGCCAACGGGGGATAGAGAGATATTTAAGGATGCCCATTTTTAAGCAAAAGAATTTAAATCCAGTGCAATATATACCGTAAGTCGGAGAAGACTATATCAGAGTTGTGCTTATTAAATCTGGAATAGAGGAACCCTTTTCGAAGAATTAAAATGTAATGGACCAGGAAAAAGGCCATTAGCTGTATGGCGGTAAAATGCCCAGGTAATAAAACAGTATCTGTCTGCACAGAGGTAGGATAGTGAACATTTATACCATGTCGAACAGGCATTAGATGAAAATCACCCGGTGAGCAGAATTACGCTTTCAGTTTAACTACAGACAGCAATGATTTAAACGAAGAGGGAATGAATCCATTTATAAAACAACCAACAAAAACATAATATACAATGATCACACTAAATCCCACTGAACATAAATTTGGTATTCGCAAGAGTACATGAGGTTCACCACCATCGCGAACCTGTGTATGTTTGGTATTATTTACCTTGTAACAATAGTGTACATATATTGTTTATTTTATTGGGTTACGCATGTAGCGTAACGAAACACCTCCCTAAATCAAAAAATCACTATCATTTTTCGCAGCAGCGTCAACGGCATGGTGGCACAGCACCTAAGAGATATGCTCCAAACTTCTGAGAGGTTCGATTCCGCCTGAGGGCAATCCTTATCTTAACCACGAATTTCCTTGGGAAAGAAATTTACCACAAGTTGCTTTGGATTAGGATTGCCAAGTCGGTAAAGCATTGGAGTCAGGAACCGTGTTCGAGGCCCGGTCATGGTCACTCTTTTTGTTCCTTCTGCGGTTGGTAAATGAGAACCACTCAGTGGGAAGGACTCTGAAAACACACAGTATGCTTGTTATATACCTGCTATCGACTATGCATTTTTTTAAAATAAGGCATTCCTGGTTGATGACATGGAAGTAGAAATCAGAACCCACGAATAACCTATTGAAAAGAATGGCGCAAGGATAGCCCTGTCATTAAAGTTAATGGAAGATCGACGATAACAAACTTTTTTCTTTTTTCATCATTAGTTACCAGTTATCAGCTCCTGTTCCAGTGGTAAGAAACAGGATGTCTTATGTTTCATCATAAGCCACATCTTCCAGTCTTGTGCTAGTGTTGTGGTGCGACTGATATTTAGTTGTGTCCAACGTAATCCAAAGAAGCTCGTATGATGTCATGTGGATCCTTGACTTGCAGTCTTTTAGTACTATTTTTCAAGACAACGGTAACTTATTCTGGCAATATAAATGAAATGTTCTAGTTTTCGTCCTTGAACACCTTTTCTTAACTGCTGTCTTGAATTCAATCCGAGTGTTTCGTTCTGAACTTACTTTCAGAACTAATCGTTGCTTCTCAAATTACTCTACAAAATTCACAACCGTCGTCATAACAGACATCCGAAACGATGTGTTTTGAACCCGGCTGGTCCAATATTTGCATCAATAGCAAGCAACCGATTAAACCAAATATTAAGTAGCTCTCTAATGAAGTTTCTGATTCATCAAGCTCTTGATGCAAATACTTCGGCAATGAATTTGCACGACACTGGTTAGTCTGACAGAACCTGAAAAAAATGCGTCTTACACATACCAGTTAGAGTCTGGATTTTTTTGTACAGCTGTCAGCGCTTCTTCGAATCGGCCCAATTTCAGTAGAGCTTTGAACAGCTTTGTCCATGTCAACGGCTGCAACAAACAAATGGAATTAGTAAACAACCACACTGTAATTTAGCGATCCCGCTGCAATACCAAACTCGGCTCGTGACCGCTGGAGCATTGCAAGCCCTTGGTGCAGATGTCAATGACGTGCTGTTGGTATCCTTGTTCGCAGAACAGATGTGACACCTAAATAAAGGGATAAAGCACCAATACAACGGAAAGAGCAATTTGGAAACAAAAAGGAGCTTTACGGTCAAGAAGAACGATAGCTTGTCCTGAGAGGTATTCACGAAGCCGAACCTGTTCAAAAAGTCCATGTCTTGCGACGTGACGGAAATATAGCAGCCGAGAAAGCACTGCAAGGCCTGAATCAGGGTAACAGTAAATGACAGAAGTCCAAACGAAAGTAAAAACGCAACTAAATTAATCTTACCTTATCTGGCTCGCCAAGCTGAAGCCATGCTTCGCCTTCATAAAACATACGAGATACACCTAATTCGGTCAACCATGGGTCAAAACGCTCACAAAAGTCCTAAAGTTCAATAATGAAGACATGATTAGGTTAACTGAAAGAATGAACATTATAATATAAAGCAAACTACAAAAAATTCAATCAAATCATTTAATATGGTTAGAAAGACCAGTAAATTGCTGCAGCCAGAGAAGTATTAATCTGCTCAGTTTGGTCCCATTCAACCGGTATTCAAAATCATGCTACAACTGATTGTTTAATCGTTACTACAGACTTTTGGATGGTATTCAGCTAAAGCGAAGAGCGATTCTGAAGAAGTAAACTGACAAAATCGATCAATTAACGAGAAGTTTACGACTGCAAATCATCATTACCATCATACATAACAAACGAAACATCGGCAAGAAAATGTAAGCTACGATTTCTTACCACCAGCTGCCTGTAAAGTCCCTTTCTACGAAAATATTCGCAAATCAGCATCCGCGGATCGGTCGGCCACAGCGTGCTTAAAACAGCCGCGATGAACTCTGGAAAGTTTAATGCCAACGACCGCAAATCATATGAAGAAGCTTCGCCATCGACGGCGCAGTTAGCCACCGGCATTAGGTAAATGGTGACCAACTTCAAGAGGTCATCGATTAAGTTCACCTCACCTAAAAATGAAATATAAGGGCAAAATGAAGCCATCCGACGAGCACAATGATTTGTGTTCAAATATTATTACAACAAACTTATGAATCTTGTACGTAACCAAAGCTTTCATGCCTAGAGGAACTATTAATCTAGTGATGTTCCGTTAGCAACGGAAATGCTTTTTGAAAATGAGTACAAACTAAATATATTTTTAACTTCATCGCCTGTCATACTGAGAGAAGCTTTGTTTAGTAACGAAACTTCAACATAATGTACCGTATCACTGAGACTCGTCATCATATACCTGCTTCACAACATCTCACTTTTGTCGAGCTATTATTCAATCTTTCTGGAAATGAATTCAATAAGAATATCTAAACCATAGTTCCATGCACCGCGTTTTCATCTTCTAAGCAAAACAGATTTTTTTATAAGGGCCGTCGCCAATTGACGGTTGAGCTCTGGCTCCTCGAATATTGTTACATTATGGCGGGCGTCCATAAACTGTTACTTAAGGATGCAACGCGTCGGGCTCGATGTAGTTTTTTCTTGCCTCAAATGCAGTGTTGTTCATTCAGGCCGTCTGATGGGCCTGCATATTTGTTATTCAGTCTCTTCTTGAACCTCTTCCGCTTCCCATGGGTAGCTGCACGACAGCAGATTGTTCTTAAAATAGCTCGGTTAGAAACTGTTTCACTCACAAGCCGCGTTGCAGGCAATACGGCAATGCTTAAGTACCGAGTTGAGTTTTCAGTGTGACGTCGAATTACTCTTCCATGAACTTATGAATTACATCGTAGCTACATCAGACACCTCTTCTTCGCTTCAGAAATTCCACTTTCATGTCATGCTGTTTGATTATCTCCTGCTCCAGATATACGAAACTGATATCCATTTCAATCCTTTGTTTTTCAATGGACGCCAACGCTTCTAATGCGTCTACTTTGTATTTACGATAATTACGAATAGACTTCTTTTCTTGCTCTCTTCACGGACAGAACGTAGCATGCCGCTCAGGTACCAGGAAGTCGCATAGAATTAGCACAGTGACAACGCTCAAATCTTTTACTACTTCTCCAACAATTCTGAGTGCTCATAATTCATTTTCTTCCCTAATGACTCAAGCTCTGCAGTGAACAGTTCTGTGGAACTGTATCACTATGCTTAATTCTTTATTCACTGGGTCTTGAAACGGCGACTGGAAACTGGTATTTGACGCCTTTAACAGATCCACATATGCTGGATTGAATCATTATTTGGCCCATGCATTAAGAACTGGATTCGTTTCGACGTTAGAAAAGTTCTCAAATAATTACACAGGGTTTCGTTCAGCCAATCTGCTTCTTAAAGTCAACCCGGTTTTCGTAATCTAGCAGGATACGTGACAGGTATTAGGATTAACGCACTGATTGTTGCCCTGAAAAACCGAGGTATCATGTCTTAATTGTTTTCGGATAAAG